CATATTTACAAAATTTGTGGGCAGGCAAACATGTTAAATGTCAGTTTTTCAGTGAATGTAAAACTGTAAGAAAAATTAAGTTGCCGTTATCCTCTTACCACAAACGCCTTTCTTTTCAGCAAATCTAAAGACAGCTTCTTCATTCTTGTCTGGTTAATGTGGCCTTTATAAATGCCAATAAGCCTGGAATCACAAGGCTCTATAAACAGTGGCTCCAGGTGGTCATAGACACGACAAAGCACACTCTCATGCTCTGCCAATTGTACAACCTCACAGCATTTCACATCACTAAGTGCAAAAATGTTGTTTGGTCTCTTAGTTCTGAGAGTGGTAGCCAGTTTTGGTGTTTCTTTTACCCATCTGTCCATTTCACCAAGCCGTCTGACAATTTGTGAAAGAGGACTTCTGCCAGAACGAACCAACCTTTTAAGCTGGTGCAAGTAACTCTCAAATCTGAAGGCACTGCACTCATCAAGACTGCCATAGTGGTTAGCATCAGATGCAAGGTGTACTAGTGAGTGTACGTTATACACCAAAAAGTCACTGCCATACAGTAGTTCAACTTGTTTTACAAAAAATGTCAGTAGTTCTTCAGCATACAAGTTATATTTCTTGGCAAGGGCAGGACTGACAAGAATAGACAGTGCCACACTAAACAGCATAAAGTGGTCATACAATCTGCCAGGTATGACACCATTTAGCACAATTTTCCCAGTATAAAGGGCAAACTGGCAGAGTTCTGTGGCCTTCCACCGATCAATTTCCTCTAGGAAACGTGGCTATGAAAACATTATAAGACTGTTCCAGAAACATTATGTCAGGAACGTTTCTTTCTAACATTTACATAACTTTTAAATAACGTTAGTGAAAGTTATGTGAACGTTCCCTGTTAGCTGGGTGGACAGCACAGGCATGATGCTTTATTGCTATGACTAGCCGGCAAATACTGTAGCCTTACTCAATACCGCCGCACCCAATAGGCAGAGTACGCAGTTTGCGTAGGGCACCACTTCCCAGGGGGGGCACCATCCCAGTTGCTCAAAAAATTAAATATAAAAAATGCATTTTATGATGAACGCAGTAGGCAGTATAAGCACAGGTGACGCTCCATTCCCGCATCTGTGCCCGCGCAAGCGCTCGCTCTCACCTCATGTTTGCTGCTGAATACAAATGATCTTCATAATTAATGGACAACTAGGTTATATCAGGGAAAAAACATCAGTGCAGTCTGGCGCAGAGAAAAGAAAAAGAAAAAAGCCCGAGATGAAGCCCGTGCATCACTTTCAGGTAACTATAAGTTCATAATCCTGTGAAACTTTTTTGACTGTTGACGTAAAGTAACGGTAATAATTTCACCACCAACAACAACGCATCTGACTCTGACATCTGATTCTAGTTTCCACGACTTAAAATGTATAATATAAAAACTACGAGGCTATATATAGTATATGGTTTAAATATGGTTTCATTGAATAACACTGTTAAATATATAATGTAATACAAAATAAAAAAATTTACATTATTACAAATGCCTGTAAAGGGCACCAAAGGCCTGATAATTGTTGTTGTTGCACTTACAGGACGATCAAATCCTTGTTTAGTATTGACCAAACATTTAATTTAAATATCCACTTAATTTGTAATTTTTGGACACCTTTTTGAATTAGAAATGCTACAGCCTCTTTAATTTCTTCAACAAAAACATGTGGACATCACAACCCTTACCAAAATTAACCATAGTTTTATCGTAGTAAAACTGCTTAAATTTTTTTTGTGTAATTTCTGTGTGCTTGAGACCATAAAATCAATAAGACAACGGTATTAATAAAATCATAGCCATAGGTAACAGTCTAGAGCTACAATTGTAATTTATAAATA